GCAAAGATGTGAAATTGCGAAAATTATAGTAATAATTCAAGAGAGAGAGAGATAACGTTGAAAAAAATGTGAACGTCAACGTCAAGTGTCAAGTGAAAACAATAAAAACGGAACGGGAGGCTGTAATTAGCGAGAGAGAAGTGGGGCCCACATCTACTTTTTTCCATTTCTATTGTAGGGGTCGGATTTGCATTTACTCTTTACTTACCCCTTTCCAAACAAAATACTAATTCAATTATAGAGAAAAATAAGATTAAAAGTTAGTTTGTTTTTTTTCATTTGCTTTGGACATATGTATGCATGGGAGTTCTCTACTTATTACTACTAGTATATATACCGTAATTCAAAGTTATATACGAATTCACACCCCTATTCGATTTGCAATAAATAGTTATTGTATAAGATTCTTCTTTTTCTTTTTGGTGTAAAAAGGAAGCTTTTGAACTTACAAATATCGACGAGTCATTGGTCTTTGATGAGTCATGAGACGAACCAAAATAAAAAACGATTTTTTTTTTAGTTTAGAAATAAGAAGCATATATAATTAAAATATGATTTTTTCTCAAAAAACTAATAATTAAAATCTGAATAAAGTTATACTGTATTTAATTTTTGATTGAAAATTTAGTTAGAGGGTAGTAATTAATTGTTGGTTCATGCGTGTTGTCCGTGGTGGATATGACAAGAATCTAGCGAATGTAATCCACAAACAATTAACCAGCCACGTGGAATTTCTTAATCCTCATGATTATCTTATAAGTTATAACTATATCCACTGTTATTATTCCTAATTATTGCGATCTTTCAAATAGTCGTTTACTGTCGCACTCAAAGCAAAAACATATCTTCGAGAATCATGTAAACGTCCCTGTGGAAATTATTAAATAAACACCCAAATATAAAAATAGCAGTAAGTTTCTAAAATCAGCAGATTAATCGATTTTTGTAGCATATATATGGACGATTAGAACCAGACACATGTCTAGGTGATGTCTAACCATTGTTAGAATATTGTTGAAAATATGTAATATATATATGTACCACACGCCACTACGCTATAATAACATATATAGTTACATACAGCTGTAATTGAGAGTGTGTGTTTGGATTTAATTATGATTAAAACACAATTAACTTTCTCCGTATACATTTGTTTGTGAAAATAAGTGCATATAATTTTAACTTTTTGGTTATGATAATGC